GCAAAAATGAAAAACTTTATTGGACAATATAGCGCATTCTCCGATAACGAAGGTTTGGAAAAAACAACTACAGAACTACAGAAGAGCCAAACTATGAATTATTAGCTAATCCGGGTATGCGACCACTGTCCAACCAATGCCCTAAAAAGGCTGAGACTATCGAGCTATACACTATAAAAAGGAGCCGATGGTTCTGCCGAATGAATGCTTGATCAGAATGTAAGACTAGTTCGCACTAGCCATTTACTTCAGAAATTATGGTTCGGCCTACTAAGGGCCGTTTCGCAAATTATCAACCAATTTAACCCACACTGGCCGCTCCATTTGGTCCGTTCACTTACGATTCAGCCTTCTAATGGCCGTTACTTATCATTCCGTACAGTGTGTGAGTCAGGGAGGCCGAAATGAATCAGCAATTTCTAAAATTCGTAGAAGGTTTCACTGAAAAATCTGTCACAAAGTTTCCAAAAAAAACGATAAGCCAACCTGTAACAGGCCAAAGACACCAGCAGCAGCCATATGTTCGGAAGTTTTGACCGGCTGAAAACCGACAAATGGTACTTGCATTGCCATTATCTGTCCCAGCACATAAAATGTAGTGTATGCTGAAATTTGAGAATTACAAATAATAGTACTGGATCAAAAGTCCTCCCCGCATGCTTCTGCCTTCAATCGCAGAACAGATCCACAAGCTACCCAACCTTCAACGCACTTGGATAAGTTGCTAACTTGGGAACCAAAAAATATGTTGCTAACTCGGGAACCAGAAAAAGTAGAAAGCTGAAATTTTAAGGAGATGCTCCCTGCATATGTAAGACTTAATGAGTTCAAACCCAGCTCCCGGGTGTGTATGGTTCCCATGCACCCTCACTACTACTGATTAACTAAGAAACTGGGCAAAACGATGAATGCTTAAGCTCCTTCACGTTCTAGGCGGCCACAAAAAAAACCTGGAATATATAAAAGGCTTTAATTTACTTTACTTTTAACTTTATACCCGGACTTTTGCAGCAATGGTGCCTGTGTCGCTGGAGGGGGCGAAAGACCCATTGCTCCCCACCCCCTCCTCCC